GGAGCTCGCCAGGCCTCATGTTTTGTTTCGTAGAAGTCAAAGCCCCTGAAGCCTTAAAGCCCAAACCATACGCTTTAAACCAACTTGGAGGGTCAGGGGGACTTAGTAAGTAGGTTAATAACCCCATAAACCACATTATTATAACCTCAATTATCCCTATTCTTAACCTACTTACTAAGTCCCCCCTGACCCTAAACCCTAAACCTTACATGTAGTAGTTTCCATTTTCTTTTCCATTACTACTAAGTCCCCCTGACCCTCCAAGTAGAGTGTACAGCTTAGATTGACCTAGAGCTCAGGTTGATGGAGTTTATGTGGGGTACCTGAACCCCAAAAGTATGTAGAATAATAGCCTTTTGGACTGGTTTTAAGGGTTTTGGGCTATTGTTTTACTTACTTTGGGGGTTCAGGTAAGTCTAAACAGGATCTAAACTCCTGAGAAGGGTATATATTGGGGTTATATAGGGGAGCTTTACAGGGCTTATTAAGGGGGGATGCTAGGAGTTTACACGATAGCTCAGGTATAGTCACTATGTCTATCATTACTTGGACCCCTACAGGGATTCCATCCTGAACGGTTTAGGGTGTAGAATTTGCTGCATGCCCGGATGTCGGAAGGGCCAGAGGGGGAGGGGCCACGACATGAGGCCCCTAAGCCCTGAACCCCGACCCTCAGGATCCAAGTACACAAAAAAGACCTGAATCATAGTCCCCCTTAAGTAGTATAATATACCCAAAGCCATATTCTATCTACTTCAGGGGGACTATAGGCCTGAAGCCTGTAAATGTTACCAACATTTGGGCTATTTGGATCCCTGAGGTGAACCCTCAGCAGAACCCCCGACCAAGCGTTCGTCCTCCGCATCCAGGGCTGCTCGCTTCTGCGTCTCCAGGCGTTGGAGCTTCGTCTTCAGCAGGGGGTCCACGTTCCTCAGCTTTTTGTTTTGATTTGAGCTTTTTCATGGACTAGAACTTAGCAGGATTGCACATGATGCGGGTAGAGATTCAGAAAAGTTGTGGGGCTCCAACTTGCTCAGCTCGTTTGGCTAGGTTGGGGTGGTTTTATCGGCTAACGGCTAACACTATGGCTGCCGCACAGTACTGGTAGTCCAGCCTCTCCCACTCCTCCTGAACAATTACTGATCTCGCTACCACTACGACCAACACCACTAACACTGGGGGTTTCCGATCTCACCCTGTTTGAAAGCTCACGATGTTGTTGACTGGAGGATCGCGACAGGAGCAAATGCAAAACAAGGGACAAGCAAGACGCAACTTGCTACGGCTCGTTCAGCAGAACTGCAGGCAGAATGGAAGCGCTAAGAGGTTCGAGCACCGCATATTATCAGAGGGTGTATGATAGAGTTTTTTTTTGTTTTTTACTTCGGATGTGCGCACTCTTTCTGCTACGAGTAGCTGCCTGCGACCTGGACCTCCAGAACTGTCACATCAGTAGTCTCCCCCCTTTGTTTCAGGCCCTTATCCTGGAGTATGTTGCCCCCCCGGCCCCAACAAAAACTGCTTGCAGCACGATCCTCAACATTCGGAATTTCCAGAAAATTGGGGCCCCTATTATGTACCCCTTATCGTACATACTTCCAAAAGAAACAGGCACCTAAACTTTGGAACCCTGAACCCTAAACTAAACCCTACACTCTACAACCAAAACCCTACATCCTAAACCCTAACCCTAAATCCTAAGCCCTAAATCCTAAAAGCTAAATCCTAAATCCTAAACCCTACATCCTAACTCCTGAGCCCTAAATCCTGAACCCTAAATGCTGAATCCTAAATCCTGAATCCTAAGCCCAAACCTTTTGTAAGATCAATGTAAGCGAAGGCTCTTGTCCTGGAGGAGGCGCGGGATGCTGTCAGCCTTGTAGGGGGAAGTATAGGGTTTAGTGTTTAGGGTTTATAGGGTTTAGGGTTTAGGGTTTAGCGGTTATAGGCACTGCCCGAATCCCCAAAGTCAGTAAACTAATGGCCCAGAACACCTACATGTAGCCCAACAGGCCATGATTCTATATACGTTTAAGGGTTCAGGTGTTTCACTTCGAGAAGAGTTGAACCTGCCTTGTGGGTCCGGGTGCACTGGTTCAGCAGACGGTCGACCTCCTGCCGAATCTCCACGATGCGCGCCTGTTCCAGGGTGGGGAGGGAGAGTGAACAGCAAATGAGGCTATAGTTTGTAGTAACCAAACCCTCAGAGTTGGTAGAATCAGGGCCCAAAAGCCCTTATTCAAAATATTTTGGGGGTCCAGGTATCCCTTTTCCCAGCGTCCCTGAGGGCCCTTTTGCAAGAGAAGCCATGCACACAAGCACGGAGACACTGTTTATGGCAGCATCTGTTGATGTCAAAAAGTGAAGAGAGCATTTGCTAACACCGTAAGACACGGGGTCCAGGCAGCTACATATGATGGCATGTACTTGGGGCCCAGACGGATTTCTGCATAGGCATTTTAAGGGCCTAGGTGTGTACTAGCTAAGTAGTTATCTGGACCCTTTAGGGGAGTCAGCTAGTCCTGCCTCTCGCAGAGTATGCCAGAACTCGTCGGACATGAGGCTCTCATCCACACCCAGGTCGCCCAAGAACGCCTCCGGCCGCAAGTAAGCGTCAATCCTCAGCTGGTTTGAATCCCCAGGGCTCAAAACAGCCCAATGTAGGTAATATGTAGCGATTTTTGGGCCCATTGTAAGTATTACCTGAACCCCAAAAGTAGGTAAAATGATAACCCAAACCCCCTAAGTATAGCCCAAAAGGCCATCATTCTACATACTTTTGGGGTCCAGGTAGTTACAGACATGCAGCCCCAAGGAATGTCAACGGAACAATGCAACGTCTGTGCAACGTGCCCCATGCATCCTAATATATACCATACTATAATGTAGTAGTTTCCATGTTATTTTCCATTATCCCTATATGAACCCAATATAAACCCTAAACGCTAAACCCTATAGTTGGCTTGCCGAGCAGCTTGACGCCCTTGTGGATGTCGTTGAAAAACTTCGAAGCATCCTGGGTTGCTGTTAAGGAACTTAGAATTTGGGTACTGCCCCCACCCAGTAGCAGTCTATGTTAGGGGTCCTATTAAGGGCTATATATAACCATATTTTACTTATTATCCAACTGTTACTGAGGCGGGCAGTACCCAACTTAGAATAAGTTACCATAACAATGATAATAATAATGATAATAAACGTAAGAATAATATTAATCGTAATAATGGTAGTACAAGTGAGAGCTTCAACTGAGTTACCATGATATGGGTATATAGTAAAGAATACGTAGGGTTTCCTTGTTGTAGTGGCTTCGTTTAAGTTCCTTAACGGCAACCCAGCATCCTTACCAGCCCAGGCGAGGATGGTGGTAGGGCCACCAGGGTGTCGATCCATGAACTCGGACAAGTCGTAGACCTGCCACACTGTCTATAGGGTTCTTGGATTTAGGATTTAGGGTTTTAGGATTTAGGGTTCTAGGATTTAGGGTATAGGATACGTTTGTACTGCGTTGTTTCTGTTTTCTGAAGCCAAGGTTTCCTCTTCAAAGTGTCAGTCTCTGAATAGTTGCCAATATCATGTTGAGGTCTTCTTGAGGCACCCTGTCTTATACAAGGAAGGTCCACAATATTGGCAATCGCTGTCCCATAATAGTAAAGGACGTTCTCCCATCCCCAAATAGAAGTAAATAATCCCGGCCCCGGAAAATCAACCAACACTAGGGGGCATTGTTTCTTAAAAGATTTAGAACCAATGAAAATTTCATGAAAATCACATGAAAATGAATTAAAATCTCATGTAAGCCCAATTGAAATCGATTGGAACCCATCTAAATTCAAAATCAGATCAATTGAAATCTAATCATCCAATCAGAAAACGTTTAACATTTCATTCATGGATTTAACTCAGAATCAAGCAAACTCTGATTCAAACCAACGAAAAACAAATCACAATCAAGTCCTCTATACAAACGATATAGAAACCGTTTAAACCCAGGAAATCCTAATTCTTTTTCTCATTCCTTCTCATATGAAAATACAGTAGGTTTATATGGCCTCCTTCTCGCAGTTCAACACCCTGTACCCTAGTTCCTTAGCCTGGAACTGTAAGACCTAGACCCTGAAACCTAAAGCCGAAGTTCTGAAAAAAGGGCCTTGCCATTCAGCGCAACCCAGCAGTTCTCCGGAGTGCAGTGGCGATTAACCTGCTGGCAGGCAAGGCAGGCCGTTTTGGGATTTGAGGCTTATAAGATTTTGGTCAGGGTTGAGAGTTTACAGGGTAGAGGCTTGTGGGCTTGGGCTATGTAGTTCCTCCTGGCTGTTGAAGGCGCGCTTGTCGGCCTTGAGACATTGGAGTCTGTAGTTGCTCTAGCAGGGCTCTCACCAACAAACTTGCAGTTGGCGCAGCTCAGAAATCTCAAGGACAAAGTGGATGACAAACTCCAAATCGATACTTGGTGACATTAGTGCAAAGTAAGTAGGTTGAAGGAATACCTAGACCTCTCAACTACAGATAATACACGCCTACGTACCCAGGAACTCTGGGCTTAAAGGAAACCCTAAAGCCTAAACCTCAGAGACCTAAACCTAGACTGGCCTCAGAACCCCACTAAAAAAACGCACACATTTTTTTGGTTGTTATTGGGATTATGGTAACCGAAAATTAAAATCTATTTGGGAGGCCCTTATAGAAACCCGAAACCCTGTAGAGAGGCACCTCCTCGCCTTGGAACTCTTCTGGGTTGCTGTTAAGGAACTTACATCAGTTACTAGATTGGGGAAACCCTATTATTTACTATATACCCATGATGGTAACTTAATTTAAGTTCCTTAACAGCGTCTTTCAAACTTGAATCCCTTCACTACAAAACGCTGCGCCCCGCCGGCCCCTCTGTCGTGGGTTCCCCTGAAGCTCCCAAGGCTCCCCCTGTAATGAAGCCAGTTCGGTTTAGGGTTTAGGGTTTAGGGAAAATGAATAGAGCTGATTTAGTCTAACCCTAAATCCCAAATCTTGCAGGGCGTAGTATAGACTGCAAGCCGTAGATAGAACAAAGGTGCCAGAAGGAACGGCACGCGAGATGAATGAGTAAAATCCTGCATGACATCGGATAAACTATAGTAGTTACTTGGGTCATTCCCCCTTACAGTAACTGTTACCACAATGGGTTATAGGAGTTATAAGGCCCCTTTAAGGACAGTTACTGGGAGGAGAAATGACCTGAGTAATTACTACCATTCCTAGGATTTATGGGCTTGAAGAGCTGCCTCAAATTGAAGTAGCCCAAGCAAACCTTCTTAACACGGTAATACCTGTGTAGCATGAACCCGAATCCTAAGTTCTACCCCCACCCCCCGAACCCTAAACCCTAAGCCCTAAACCCATCCTACACCGAAAGCCCTACATCTGAAATCCTCAAACCAAAGCCCCAAGTCAATTCCTGGAACCCGAACCCCAAAGCCTCAGCCCCAGTTCCTGATCTACTGGGGCAGCAGAGGACATTTTAACTGCATGCTCCTCATTTGGCTTCAGTTCAATCCAATAACGACCCAGAATATCATAAACTTGTCATCCAAGACAACTCAAAGCGTAAAAGCCCGACATCCTAAACTCCAAACCCAATTGAACTCCAAACCCCCTAGCTGTGCAGGTCCCTGGAACCCCTGTCAAATCTTGAACAAACCCTTACCAGAGCCTAAAAGTATGTACCTCGACCCCAAAAGAAGGTAAAATAATAGCCCAAAACACACCAATGTAGCCCAAAAGGCCGTTATTCTACATGGTTTTAAGGGTTCAGGTAGACTAGTTGCCTTTCTTTGATGCCGGCTTGGGGGCAATTATTTTGCCTGCTTTGGGTCCAGGTAAATCTAAACCCTGAACCCTAAAACCTAAACCCTTACGTGAACCTCAACAGTATGTATAATGAACGGCCTTTTGGGGTGTTTTGGGCTATCATTTTACCTACTTCTGGGGTTCAGGTAGAATACTCCCCTATTTAATCCCCTATATAGCCCCAGTTAAGGAGTTTAGACCCTAAACCCTAATCCCTAAACCCTAAACCCCAAACCCTAAAACCTTAAACCCTTAATCCTGAGTTGACAGACCTCGGACAGAGGGATGTTCTTCGAGATCGCTCGGGTGCCGGGCTCATGGATGACGTGCTGCTTGCTCTCCGGGACCTGGTGGTAGGGGTTGAGGGGTTTAGGGGTTTAGGGTTTAGGGTTGAGGGGTTTAGGGGTTAGGGTTTGGGGGGTTAGGGGTTTAGGGGTTAGGGTTTGGGGGGTTAGGGGTTTAGGGGTAAGGGTTTAGGAGCTTGCTCTCAGGGACCTAGGCTTAGCCTTCAATGTTCGAGGCCTCAGACCTACTGTGGAGAGGCTTGGATTCAGGAGGTGCACGTGGGATTTGTGGACCCAGGCAGGAGTCCTTCAGCGTAACGCTGGCGCCTCACCTTCAGATGCACTTTCCACTGTAGTCGGGGTTCGCCCAGGCGCCGAATCCTGAGCCCTGAAACCCTAACAAACTCCTACTGCAGAAGGTAGAAAGCTGGAAGATCAGTTCCCCCCCCAAGCCAAGAAACCTATTATTTTAGCATAACTCCATCCTGTGACCGGTTCTACCTTTTTGGTCCTTTCGCAGACTCCCTATACTCAACCAAATTTAGGATGTTTAACTTGATGTCTATCGCATCTTCTACATATAAAGTCAGGTATCCTACAAAAAGGAGGGTGGGGCTTACGGGTCTAGGTACCCCAGCCCCCCAAAATAAACTCCAAAGCCCAAGCCCACCAAACTCAAGTGAGAGACGTGGGCCGGGTGCTCGTCTGTATACTTGGAGGCCATGATGGGTCCTTGGTATGGCTCTAACTAGGGTTTTCTCAAAACAGTTGAGGTTCCTGGTTGCACCATGATTAGGTTTTCGCTTTTGGGTGTAGGGTTGGGGAATTTGATAACATGCTGAACTTATTTTGGAACTTAGAGAACAGCAAGGACCGAGGCTGGCTGTATAGGTCATAGAGCCACAACATCATTTCAATGGTGTCCATGCGGATAGGTGTCTGTGAGCGCTTGCATCCCTCAAGATTCTTGTCAAGCATCCGAAAGCCCCAAACCCTAACCCCTTCTAGCATACCGGTGTCTTATCTATCTTGGGGACCATGATCTCCCCACAGAACATACCAGGTGAATTCTTTGCATGACCATCTTTCGCAAGACGAAAACTCAACCCTGGCAGACTCAGCTTTCAACATATCTTCATACGGTCACATGGAGATCTGCTAGTATTTTTTGGGGGGTGATATAGTGTTTAGGGTCTAGGGCTCTAAAGGTTACCTTTCAGGATCGTAGGATTACTTGCGGTTTAACAGAGAGCGCTTTTTAAGCGCCACCTTTGAAACTACTTCAGGCTCTGAAGCCAAGGATCCCCTAGTATTAGTTTAGGGTTTATAGGGCTTACGTAGGGTTTAGGGCTTAGGGTTTAGGGCTTAGGGTTCAGGGTTTAAGGTTCAGGGCTTTGGGTTTTGGGTTTAGGGCTTTGGGTTTGGGGTTTAGGGTTCCCACAACAACTGTGCAGAAGAGCTCAACAGCCAAACCCCAACCCCAAACCCTACACCCTAAACCCTGAAAGTCAAGGGAGCGGTGCGGGACCCCAGCATAGAGCTGACAAGAAAAATGCATCCACCTCATCTTTCTTCCTGTTGTCATGCGTGATTGAGGGTTTAGGGTCTAGGGAGTGGATCCCTATCATCCATCCCTTCATACGCCCTGCGAGTAATCCTTATACTCACTCACCCCGTCCCCTTTCAGGACCAGCAAGTCCCCTAAACCCTAAACCCCCAAACCAACCCTAAGCCCTCAAACCCTAAACCCTAGGAATCCCTAGGAGTTAAGGATGGAGCTGAGAAGCCACAAACGCGAGAGTACGCTACGAGAACCAATGCCCCAATGTCAAAGAATCCGTCCAAATCATGGAGAGCCAAGATGGAAGCTTCTTTAGGGTTTATAGGGTTTAGGGGCAGTTTACGTGGGTAATTAATGCTGAAGCCTGCGAACAACATGAAATATCATCCCGATATAATGGTTCCACTGCTATGCCGCAGGCTATACGGTACTGTATGTAAACCCTATTCTGCCTATTTAGGACACTACACTATACATTTGGGGTCCTCCTCTGAATCACCACTGCTGCTTATCCAATCCGCGGATCAAGTGCGCCAAAGTCGGTAGGACACACTGGAGCTTCAGAAATGGTCCAAAATGCTTCGGTCACACAGTGCTGGTAGTAGTACTTGAAATACTACTTCTTCTCCTGACAGTATAACTGTCAGAGTTATAGTTCTAGTTGGGCAACGTCAGCAAAGAGCAAGGGCAGCCTAGAAATGGACTGAAGGGATTTGTTGATTCCGTATAGGCATCGTCGGCTTGGTAGGTATATCTGGCAATTTCCATACATGGAGGCCTGAATATAAACACCAATATACGCGTCCTAGGAACTCCTCAGAAGAAAGACCTCCATTTGCGCGCTTCAGAGCTCGCAAGAATGGACAACAAGTTGTCAGGGCTTATAGGGAGCCTGAGGCATCCGTGAAGCGCTACAAAACAAGATGTTGCTAGAGCGGTAGAGTGTAGCCACCTGATGTTCCACTCAATCTGCACACGCGCATAACCGAAAGGAAGCATCTGAAAATCACAACTTTGCCATGCCGACAGACTATATTTGGTAGTTTGCAGTTTTCCGGTATACCCCTATAGATTACAAATATGAAAGTTTCCATTTTCGTTTCCACCTGTACCAATATTGCCCCTATATATACCCTAGTACTTACCATTTCTTTGCCATTATTCTGTCTACAGAACACAGCATGCTTTGTGTCACGAACACTGGCGACTTTGTGCCCGCAACATCCCGCCAGATACCGTCAATTGCCGGACGCTTGGTGGACGAGTTGTTGAGCTAAGCACTCAAAATTGGGGTCTGCGTGATGCTGCCGTCAGTACCAGCTGACATGCGACGCGCTCGCCCTGAACTTGGTGGCTTCGACTGTACAGGTGACCGTCTTTGGGAGCCACGGCCATAGGAATTGAAAAAGGTGAAACGTGCAAAGCGATACCGACGCAAGCTATTCTTTGAAGTCCTGCGATACGGAGCAACAAAGACATCATGAAGAGAGACTAGATGAAGGGGGAGACCTTGCGGA